ATTTTTAATAATTCTTAAGAATTATTAAACATTAGCAAAATTGAAAATATTTTCAGATTTCAGATTTTTCTGCAAATCCTCTTGAAATATTCTTCGGAAAAAATGCTGAAAATGCTATTTCCTGATTTATCTTGTAAAGTCCACAAAAGCAGTAAACAGTTTTAAAATCCTCTTAATTTATTAACGAGCAAATTCTACAAAATTCACAAAAACGGAAGGTAAGTAAATCATAGAAAGCCCAGAGCAACAAATTCATTCAACAATCATGTGTATCCTTTGTACCATGAAGGCAATCCAAAAAAAAAGATATCGATTATAAGAAGGACAAATATACGTACGATATAAAAAATACAAAGAAATTCAAAATTTGAATTTATGAATTTTTTATATATGAAATTCTTGTTAGTAAATGTATGTTAATAAATTGGTGAACAACCTAAACACTGTGAGACTACTACAGATACCCAAAAGAGTCCCAGACAGCCAAAATCACTTGGACATATATATTTTTTTAAAGAAGCATATAAATACTGTAGTACGTATGTGGATACTCGGATACGTACGTGTAGTAGCCACATGACTGCATGCATATGGAAATACGTGAAAACAATCCCAGATACTTTTCATGCACATGAACTCGTATTGAATTAAACAGTTTTAGTTTTGTTCTAACTAACCTAACTTTATTTCTCTTATTCCTTGATACTTACTCCTTACTTTTTCAAAAATCTTTATTTTTATTCCTTGCATGTCGTCTATGTACTCACACTACTCGCTCATCCCACACGTATCCTGTAGGTATGTCCTTACAGTTCTGTGCAGTTAATGTCGTAATTTTAAAACTTTTACATAAATATCCTTTAAATATTTTTCTTACTCGTTCATGTCTTTTTTCTGTGTACCTCATTCATGCCCGTGCTTCCTTGCTGCTTTGTTCCTTTTGTATAAATATTTATGAGTTAATATCGATAACTCGAGCTGGTTGTGCTGCCTTCCACTCCGTAGTACAATTCTTTCATTTCGTTTAGATTTTATCAGTTGTTAGTATTTGGGTTTATATTTCACTTTGGATTTAGGTTTCCCTAGCCATTTCCTTTTGTGCATTCATTATTATGACTTGTTTACTTAAATATTTTCTTTCGTGAATCAATATTCATTTTCTGATTGATAGCAACGATTGTGCATGACATTAATCCCAATCGTATAGAAATCGTATAGAAATCGTATAGAATCGTATAGAAAAATGGAACACAAACACAACTGAAATTGACATGTTGAATATGAGCAATTTAAAATTATCCTTTACAAGGCAATGGAAATCTGCTGGAACAGAGCTAAATTATAAGAAGGCAGGTAACGTGCTCAGGTACACGCCGTTCACGTGGGACTTGTAAAATTGGGCTGAAGTTTATTACGTTTACATGAAGATTAGGGGGAAATTATTTTATGTGATCTGTTTTAAATGGATAATGAGTACATATATATACACTTATAATGAGGATTACGTAAAAATTAATTTGATTTCAATTACGGATTTAAAATTTCTCAATCTCGTTAGAGATACTCGTCTATATAAGTATGTGAATTTAATTAAATTTTATAATTTTCTTTAGTAAAAGCTATAGAAAAAATAATAAGGATTAAGATTTTGTGCAAATTTCAAACATATCTTTTCGATACAATGGCAGATGGGGATATTTGTTCATAAACTTATTGATGATACTTATATCTTTAGTATTAGAGAAGAAATAAAAGAAAGTCAGATATATGTATACATGCGAAAAGGACGAAAGGACGTATGAAAGTAACGTAAAACTTGATTTAAAATAATTATTTTTTATGAAATAATATTATTATTTTATTACTGAGTGTAAAAAAAAATCGTTAATTTCAAAATAAAGTACAGTGTGCTCTCGATAATCAAGACAATTAGGTGTCCAGAATAGCAAAGTGCTCGATATTTACTTCAACTAATTATATTAAATATTATTCTTTTTTATATTCATCTTACTTATTGAATTTGCCATAACAACCCGTTATCGGATTTCAGCTCGATGCAGCAGTTCGCTACAGACGCCTTTGCTGAGGCATCCCTTCACAGTCTTGTACATCGGGTTATTGCTGTCTCAACTTAATTACCTCACCGGTTTATTTATACGTTTTATGCCTCCAATTGTCGCAGCAAAAATATTTTTCACTTAAGCAGCTTCATCCATTCTCACGCCATAACAAAGCCAGTGTAGTTCCTGTATGTTAATTTGACGAATGACTTCAATGTCGTGATAAAGCTCATACTGTTCGTGTTTCAATCGGATGTGGTTGTCTTCGCTAACCTGTAGATGACCGAAGATCTTACAAAGAAGTTTTCTCGATGTGATAGCATACTCGTTTTTATGCTATATAGAAGTGCAGGTAGAAAGAGCGACCTACAGAACGTAAGTTTTGTCGGTCGAGAGATGGTTTCACATTCCAAACACGTACTGAGTCCATAGGTGCACCTTTTGGCAGTGGTAATTCCTTACTTGATCTTTGGTGGTGCTAAGATATATTCATTTTGTAATTATTTTTTGTCCATAATTTATATACATATATATCATTTTAATATAATATGAATACATAAATATTCATATGTATTATATGTTAGAGTTACATTTTAATTGTTAATTTAAAAAAACTGTACTGAAATTGTTTTTATACGAATAATATAAATACTAAGTTAAGAAAATAAATAAAAAATTTTGTATCCACATTATTGAAAATGAATGAGGTACCTCGTGTTTCCGGTAAAGAGTTCAAGTTGAGGAAACACTAACCGTAGTTGATGTATGAGTTTTGAGAAGACGTGCACACAGTAGTGTCTGGTGCCTGGGGCGACATGCTGCATCAGGTCGAAACCCGATGTTACAAGAGATAACAA